GAGTAAATGAATGTGTTCTAGCTATATAAAAATTTACACCAAGCTAAAGTATATAAAAGTGCTATAAAATATAGCAGAATGACGATTAAAGCGGTTTTTAACAATATGTCATATAGAGGTGTAAAAAAAGTGTTCCAGAACTCCCTTTTTCACCCTACTAATACATACAAAATATATGCTTATAATAAAGTCACGAGGCATGACCTCACCTTAACACCGAAAAAAAAAAAAAAACTCTAAAAATCTAAAAATAGATTATATAAGTAATTTAAATAATATGGTGAAAAGTCAATAGAAATGAACCAAATCTATCTAATAAATTTGTCTTATTTCTATTAACTTCTCCTCATATATTTTTAGATTTTCAGATTTTCTTTTAGCATTACTTACATTATTAATAATTATTACTATTTTCAAAAATTTTTAAAATACAATTTAGAAATTTTTTTTTTTGAATCAATTCAGTAATTATGTTAATACTTTATTAGGCTTGAACTAACTAACTCTATTTTATATCTATTTCATGTTATTCGTAGATTGTATAGAACTTGCTATACTACCTGATCTAAGTAACAACTATTGACTAACTTGGTTCCTTGTGACCAAAATCTAATTTATCTATGTTCGATCTGCTATAGTAAAATTTTTTCTCTATATTATTTTTCTTGCTACTAAAAAAACTAATACTGTACTTTACTAAAAAGTATTTACATTTCTAAGCTCATCATGATTGCCTCCTCTTTTCTTAATTCTAAACTTTCTTTTTCAAACTTCTCAAATAAAAAAAAAAACTTCCAACTACTATACAAAAAAATATTAAGTTCAAAAAAAAAAAAAAAAAGGAGAAGTGTTTACAAAAAAAACAATATTGAAAACATAAATAAAATAAAAAAAAGCAAAAGAAAAAAAAAAAATAATAATCTATAATAAGTGCATTATTATAGCCTGTGCTAAGCAAAAATAAAAATTATATAACAAATGCAATATTTGTATATCTCTATTGTTAAGCTTTGCTTTAATATAAATTTTTTTCTGACCTCCTAATTAACTTTGGATAACTTTGTTTAAGTCCATCCTAATCCGTATCTCAAGTAGGTGCTGCTACTGTCTATAGATCTATATCTTAAACCACCTACTACCACCATTAGAGGTTTTATACCAAGGGCCTAGTTTTATATAGTAGCTTTGTATTCCTAAAACATGTAGTTGTATTCTACTAGACTGTCTGAATTTGGAAAATAAACAATATCAATCTTTTGGAGAGGGTAAGCCAAATCTTTACTTTTTGTTAAAAAATTTTAGAAGACCGACAAGAGGGCAAAAATAAATAAATAAGAAAATACTTAACTAAGTAAAAAAAGTGTAGCTTAAAAAATATATATATTTTGTTATATTCTCTGTTTTACTTTATCCAAAGCAAAAATCTAGTAGCTTTGTCAACAGAATAAATCTGAGACTTCTTGGTATTTGTCTCTCCACCAAGATTTTTCATACAAAAGTACTACCTCTTGCCAGTTATTTTGTATAATAACACTTCTGACTTGCATGCTAAATATCACTTTAGAAAAGTTCTATGAAAAAGAAAACGTTAATTTTTGGACAAACTACTATATAGACTATGACTTTTTAACAAAAATTATGTTTTTTTAGTAGGAAACTTTGGTTCAAATTATAAATTTTTTAATTTACAAATATTTATAAGTTAATTACTATATCTTATTAATATAATATTGCCATGTTTATTTAGCTATCTAAAGCTCATGAATACTTAGAGAGGTATCTGGAAGATTAATATGATGCATTACAAGCCTCTCTTGAGACTATTATAAAGATGGTAAACTACGAAAATATTTTAGAAATTTGAAAAGTATCACTATTTGACAAACATGTTCATAGCTATTCTCACTACCTTATTCTTTTAGCTAATAACTCTTATATTTATACATGCCTTTATATTATTTCTTATAGGTTAATGCAAAATTCAATATTAAGCTTATACCAAAATGGTGATATTCTGATCCAATGCAAGAATCCAGTATATTACCAATTACAGATACAACTGTAGAACATGAAACAGTTATAGAAATGAATCAAGTGATATCTATTCGTGGGCCAGATATATATCAGCCTAAAATATTACACAAAAACAAGAGTATATATATAGCTTTGGCATTGCTAAAAGTGGGTTAAAATTTGCTATTGACAATGGTTTAATTGATAAGTTTGTTAGGCTGA